TGGTCAAATAAATTCAGCCCTGGTGAGCATAAGAGACATCTTTCAAAAACAGCAACTTTTGAACAGTAGTGTATGACCACCACAGTAATTGCTATGTCACAGATCTGACTTCTTTTACCTCTTAAAATGATTAAAAGGTTCTTTGGGTCTGTTACTGTATATAATGTCAGAGACAGGTGGCACTATTCTGCAGCAGAATGCAAAGCCTTAAATCTCCCACACTCCCGCCCTTTCCTCCCTCACTCAATCCACCTCTCTCCAAGCAGCTGCCTCTGCTGAGACAGGAGCAAATGAGAGCAGATGAATCCATTTGGCCCCTGGCCCTGTTGTGGCCCTGCCTTGCTCCGAGGGCTCTGCTCTGCTCTGGGGCAGCTCGGGGATAATGAGCCACTGTAGAGGTGCCACTGTCGCCCGCCCTCTCTCTCTTTCTCTTTCTGTGTGCCTCTTGTCTCGTTCCCTCTTTGTCTCTCTTTCACTCTCGCTTTGGGTTAATAGAGGTGAGGCTCCTCTAGTGCGGGACACTTTTTCCAGCAAATTAGGGGAAGGATCCGTGTCCCCAGAGTCTGCCCTCTGTTATGCTCTCCTAGCCTGCCCCTCACCGCTGGCAACGGAGAGCTTTCATCCGAACGGTGAGAGTGGTGGGTTTGAGACTTGGGTGGGGGTAATGAGGACTGACAGGGCTTGATTCCCGAGCAGGGATTAAGAGGAAACAGCTGACAGGTGAAGACGAGAGTGAGAGAGAGCGACTGGTGCGGCTGAGATAAAGTGAGAGTGGAAGGAGGGAGAAAACAAGGGCGAGGCGGAGGTAAAATTCTCACGCTAATGGAGGTGGGACTTGTGGCGGCTCAGGGGCTCTTGGCTGGAGACGGCAGGCCCTTTGAGGTTAGACAGGATCAAAAGAGCAGAATAATAAAACAGAGAGACTTCACCCCAGCACGGCTCTCAGCACGCATGACGGGATTCAGCAGCATGTAGGAGAGGGGTTTTACCTTCAGAGCCCTCTACGTTCACAGCCTCTACTGCCCTTTTATGTTCTTGTTAATGACTTTTTCTGTCTGGTTTCATCTCTTTTCACTCTTTAGTTCCTCTATTCTTGGATAACGGTGACTATAAAGATAACTGTATTAGCGTCCACACCAACAGATGATGACTTTCTGTTAGGGCTGCACGATTAATCGAATGCGATTGTCATGCGTATCTTGTCAGTAAAGCCGGTTCTGTGATTAGTATTAAATCTCCAGCACGTGCTTTCAGATGGAGCAGCGTTTACTACACAGAGCCGTAGTTCACTGACAAGCTACGCAAAATCGCGTTCATAATCGCAGACGATTTAATCGCGCGATTATGAAATCAAAGAAATCGTTCTGCGATTAGGAAAGCTGTTTGCATAGCTTGTCCGTGAACTATGGCTCTGTGTAGTAAATGCTGCTCCATCTGAAAGCACGAGAAAATACCACATTTAATAACATGTTTTTACTCCAAACTCACTTCATAACGTCAGTCGAGTGTTTGAAATAAATCCTTCTGTGAGATGATGTGGCTTCTTCCACAGAATAAGGCACGCAACATATTTCATAGTATTCTAAGCAGTGTCGATTAGCATTGCATTATTATATACTTTATTATAATAAAAATTATAATAAGACGAACTCGGATAAACCATATATTGTCGTAGTCGTGTGTTTATTAGTCACATTGAATTAATGAAAGCAGTTAAATCTTCTGTTTATCCAGCTATCGCTATATGCATTTCCTGTAAGCGTGTTTAACTCCTTTCTCTATATAAGGAAAGCTATGGCTGTTGAAAAAAAGTGTCTTTCCACGCTTTACCACCACTTAATTTGAGAAAGTACACAATCTGGGTGCTTGAAGTGTTCTAGGGCTCACTATGCTTGTTCCGCACTACTTATACTGCAAAATGGAGTAGAATAGTTCAGAAGTATGTAAAATAGGATGTACCAGTTGTCTGCCTATCAGCAAATCATTTAGGGAGAATGTCACATGATGTGATTAAGATTCAAGAGCAAAGCTTTTAAGCAAAGAGCAACACCTTTTACTTTTGTAACACTACATATTTTAGCGTATCTGAATGTTTCAGTGGCAAATATATAGAGCAGGAATTGATTTGATTAGATTGTGACATTACTGATTGTTTTGCCAGCCATGCAGCTTTGGTTACAAAAATTGTATAGAAGGTTTTGTTAGGGAAGATTACCTTTTTTTTTTTTTTTTTT